TAATCCCAGAGATATGTTATTAGAATCCCACCAAGTTAATGCCAATCTATCATTCCCAGTGCAACTCACAGCAAAAGTAAAGACTCTAAAACATATAATTATTGGGAAGCCAAGGGGCCATAAGTCCAGCCACAAAGGTGGCTTTCCAGAACCAAGAGGCTGACCCAGGGCCACATTGGGTTTTATTCAGTGGAGGAGTGGCTTGAGGAGGAATGACTGAGAATTATGGGAAGTAGGTGAGTACTGTGAGTTGAGCTAGGTAGGAGCCCTACATTTACCTCTTCCATATGCAGAGAAAGTAATCTTCATTACAATGAGATAATATCTAAAGTTTCTCAGACCTGGTGCTTTAGCTCTGATGTAATCTTTCTTTCTTTCTTTTTTTTTGTATTTTAGAGAAGGGTATACAGGGTGTTCAGGGTCGCTCTACTAGGTCAGACTTGTAGTGATCTGCCTGTTTACAGCCTCCCAAGAGCTGGGATTACAGGTGCGTACCACCACACCCAGTCTTAATGCCATCTCAGTGCACCCCAAGGGGTGGGGCCGGCAGACAGTCCCAGGGATCTGATGTAATCTTTGAAGCCCCAGGAAGTCATAGCCTCTATGTCAAGTCTTGATCCCAGCTGGCAGCATGGAGCATTGGCTTTTCATTCTGTCTGGATTCAGCTCTCATTAAGGAACAGCAGCAGGTGTAGGTTATTAGGGAAACACGCATGCCACCTTCAAAGACTATTGAAGGATAAAGTGAAGTGCTAGCCAGCTCTGTACAAATCAATAGGAGGAAATAGGGTCAGGCTCAGTCAAAATGGAGACCATTGCTCTTCTTTCAAGGAGAGTTGCTTAGGTGGTCCTCCACAGGAAGTCTCATTTTGTTTTGGTTCTTGAGACAGGATCTTGCTATGTAGTTCAGGTGGCCTTAAACTCACTAGGTTGGTATAAAAAATCCTAGCCTGGCTTCCTAATTGGATTGTTTTTAAAATCTCTTTACAATAATAATAATAATAATAATAATAATAATAATAATAACTCTTTACCTTTGTAGTTTTGTCCATAATTATAAATCTTCAATATTTCTCTTAAATAAGCGCAGGTATTTTTGGTCCTACGGATTGAACCCACAGCTTTTGCACTTTTCTCTCCTCTCCTCTCCTCTTCTGTCCTCCTCTCCTCTCCTCTCCTCTCCTGTCCTCCTCTCCTCTCCTCTTTTCATTTCTTTGCTTGCTTGCTTGCTTTCTCTCTAGAGGTTCCAGTAATCAAACTCAGGACCTCATGCTTGCCAGGCAGGTGGTGCATCACTGAGCTAAATCCCCACCCTCCCATTGACATCCATCCCACTTTTCTATATTTTATGTTGAGGTAAGGTCTCCGTATGTTCCTCACAGTGACCTCAAACTGAAAACCCTCTTGCAGCAGCCTTCTGAATGATGACGCTAGAGCATGCATGACCATGGCCTGCCCAAATAAGCACATTTTAGTGGGTCTCTTTTTTCATTATTTGGGTAATTACATACATTTATTTTCAATTTAGTAATGTTTTGTTTTGATTTTGTGTTTTCTTACAGAGGGTCTCGCTATAAAGTCCAGGTTGGTCTTGAACTAGATATGTAGCATAGGGTGGCTTTGAACTTGTGGTGATCTTCCTGTCTCAGCTGTCCATGTATGGGGATTACAGACATGCACCACCACACCTGACTAAGAAGAATTGAACTTTCAAAATATAAATTTCGTTGTATATATTTACTTTACATAAATGTTTATAAGGAAAGTGAGTGCAAATATAAACCATAAAGTCTAAAGATATTCAAAATCCATTATGAAATTAGAGAGGTAGAAATAGGAACAATAATTATTGGGATGGAAAGAAATAGGGCCACATGGAAAAGAAACAAAATTGCTGTAGGAGAATTCAATGCTGTTGGGTGTGTTGGTACATGTCTGTAATTCCAGCACTTGGAAGCTGAGACAGGAGAATTGTCACAATTTGAAGGCCAGCCTGGACTGCATAGTGAGTTCCAGGTCAGTCTGAACTACATAGTGAGACCCTGTCTCAAAAAAACAAAATAAAGTTAGTTAAAAACTATGGCCCAAAAAATAAAAAATTAAAAAAACTAAAAAAAAAAATTGGGCCAGGGAGATGGCTTACTAGAATAAGTGCTTCCCTGGCAAGCTCAAGGGCCTGAGTTCAATCCCCAGTTCCTCCAAAAAAACAAACAAACAAAACCCTATGGCCCAGTTAATTTTCTTTTCTTTTTTCTTCTTCTCCTTCGTATTTAGGACAGAGTCTACAGGGTCTCACTACACAGATCAGACTTGCAGTGATTCTACTGTTTTCAGGCTACCAACGGCTGGGTTTACAGGGTTGTGCCACTACACTCAGTCTCAACTGCCTTCTCAGCATGCCCCAGGGGCAGGGCCATCACAGCGCGCTGGGGTGAACCCAGCCACTGCGCTCTGCCAAAGTACACTTTAGTCCAGTGAGCTATCTGGCCAGCCCTCAGTTAAATATTTAATCTGATCTTTATTTTCTCTTGTACTAGGGATTCAATTCAGGGCTTTATACCAAGATATGTTGCCACCCCACTTTATTTTTAATTTTTATTTATTTATTTATTTATTTGCGGAACTGAGGATTGAACTCAGACCCTTGTGCTTGCCAGGGAAGCACTTATTCCACTGAGCCATCTCCCTGGCCTCTCACCATGACTTTGAGTTCAGCTTGATCTTTACAGTGAATTCTAGGCCAGCCTGAAATACATAACAAGATCCTATCTCAACCAAAACAAAACAGCTGGGCATGGCGGTGCATGCTGGTAATCCCAGAATTCAGGAGGTTGAGGCAGGAGGATCACCCTGCGAGTGAGCTGGAGTATGTTGTGAGACCCTGTCTCAACAAAACAAAACAACAACAACAAAAAGCAAACTAACACAAACATAATTGCAATGAAAACACATTTGTAATGAATAACACACTGGTAGGTATTAAAATAAATATTCAGCCAAAACCAAGGGCAAGGGCAAGATGAGAATTGCAGCCACAGAATGAATTTGTAGAACACAAAAATAAACTTGATATATTTTATTTTAAAGAAAAAAATTAAAATCTCAAAGCAAGATAATAGAGTAACAATGGTTAATAGGGAGTATATTGTTATCTTTAAATTAGTTTCTCAGAGTACAAGATACAGGCTTTAATTGTCCAAACAATATTATAATATTAGCACAAACCTTTCTTTTCAATAAACAATGAAGTTGATGCAGTTTAAAATTTTAAAATTGTTGGGCCAGGAAGATAGCTCAGTAGAATAAGTGCTTGCCTAGCAAGCACGAGGTCCTGAGTTCAATCTCAGGTACCTAAAAGAAAAAAAAATTAAAATTGTTGTTGTGAGATAGGATCTTACTATGTGTAGGTCAAGCTGGCCTTGATGTGTTTATTGGTTTGTTTTTGTAGGGGTGGAGTGGGGGGGGGGAACCGGGGATTGAACTCAGGCCCTTGTGCTTGCCAGGCAAGCACTTACTCTACTGAACCATCTCCCTGCCCCAAGACAATGGAAGCAGAGGCATGGTTCAGCTGCACCAGTCAGAAAACCTCCCTGTAGTGTTGGGTTTAGATTTTTTTTTTTTTTTTTTTTTTTTTTTTTGTGGTGGAACCAGGGATTGAATTCAGGCCCTTGCACTTGCCAGGGAATCGCTTATTCTACTGAGCCATCTTGCTGGCCAAAGAAGAGGACTGGGTACTTTGTTTTGTTTTTATTGTGGTACCAGGGATTGAACTCAGGACCTTGTGCTTGCCAGGTAAGCGATTATGCCGCTGAGCTATATCTCCAGCCCTTGGCCTTGAACTCACCATGTGGGCAGGCTGGTCTCCAATTCATTGTGATCCTCCTGCCTCAACTGCTCATCTGCAGGGATCATAGGTGTGTTCCACCATGCTGAACTCCTAAACTTTTGACACTGGCATTGAAATACAAAAGTTTGTCAGCATTGTCACCAGGCACAGTGTCTCATACCTATAATTCCAGCACTCAGGAGGCTGAGGCGGGAGGGTTATGGCAAGTTCAAGACCAGCCTGGGTTATAAAGTGAGTTCAAGGCCAGCCTGAATTGCACAGTGAGACCCTGTCTCAAAAAGACAAAAAAAAAAAGTTTCTAAGCATTGTTTTTTTTTTTTTGTATTTTAGAGAAATGTCTACAATGTGTTCAGGGTCTCACTACTAGATCAGTACTAGATTGTCCTATTTACAGCCTCCCAAGAGCTGGAATTATAGGGGTGCACCACCACGCCCAGTCTCTCTCAGCATTTTTACCTGCTAGATTGCATCTACAAATCATTCAACTACATATTTGCCATGTTAAGTAGATATTCACTTTTGTTTCTTTGAGATAGGGTCTTGCTATACAGTTCAGGCTGGTTTGGACTCGCTATTGTCTTTGAACTCTGTTGGCCTTGAACTCAAAGCCACCCTCCTGACTTAGCCTCCCAAGTGCTGTAGATATTGACTATTTTTTATATATATTCACTATTAAATCCTATGAAAAATAAGGTATTTTCAGAATAATATGCCATTTTTCCTTATTTCATCTCTTTATTATGTCCAAAGAGTGATTTATCATATATGTTTATACATAATTTTGGAATTTTTCCTCCCAACAAAATCTGTGTGCTACTTTTTTTTTTTATGCTGTTTGTTTTGTCCTTTGGCAGTGGGAATTAAACAGAAGACCTTTGCCCTAAGCTACATCCCAGCCACTTTTACTTTTTATTTTGGGACAGGGTGTTGCTAAGTCACTTAGATTGGTTTCTTTTAAAAAAATATTATTATTATTAATTTATTGAAAATAGAAAGTCAAAGTCTTTGCTTCCAGGATTCCTAACAGATCACCCGTGAGTACCCTGGACAGGCTCTAAAGTCCACCTCCCCCACTACCTGCTGTAGCTTCTCCCATTATGGAGTCTTGTCCTGTTGCTATTATCCAGAAAATACGTGGAAGGGTATGGAGTCCATGTGCAGCACATTTGCTCACAGAGAAGTCACGCGTTTTGTGTCCCTTGTCACCATGTCCCTAAATTCCCATTGGGTGTGTTGTAAACAGAGAAGCCATTTCAGGCGCCCTGCTCTGAGCACACCCCACCCCAGACTGGTTTCCAATTTGCAGTCTTCACATCTCAGTCCCTCTCCACCGGTGCTGGCTTATCGTCAAGCGCCATTGCACCCTGCTCTGTTGGTGGCAGGTTTGACACTGTTTGACCTCATTTTGAAAAGATACATACAGCTCCTAAAAATATGAATTGTCTTTTTTTTTTTTAAATTTTGTGGTCAGAGCATTGAACCCATGGCCTCAACCTCATGCATATTAAGCAAGCACGCTCTTACTGAATTGTTCTTTTTTGGTGCGTGTGTGTGTGTGTGTGTGTGTGTGTGTGTGTGTCTTTTTGAGACAGGGTTTCGTTATGCAGTTCAGGCTGGCCTTGAGCTCACTTTGTAGAGCAGACTGGTCTTGAACTTGCAGTGAGCCTCTTGCCTCAGCCTCCAAGTGCTGGAATCATAGGCATGCACCACCACACCCAGCTTGTATCACTGAATTAAACACAACCATATTTCTCCTTTTTCTCAAAGCTCCTTCTGATGAGATTCATGGGCTTTGTGGAATCAAAGTAATATTTATTAAAATTATTTTATTTAATGTTACGAGTGTCAATACATAAAATAATTATGATATAATCTTATTCTTATTAGTCTGCTTCTTTTTTTTTTTAATTTTTTTTTAACATTTATTTAGTGTGTGTATGCGTGGCCAGCTCAGCCCACCAGGGGGCGCGACTGGCTGGCATGTGGTGCTGGGGGATCGAACCGCGGTCCCTGTGTTTTTCCAAGCTTGTTCCAAATAGGTGCTTTAGACCACTGAGCCATCTCTCCAGCCCCAGTCTGCTTCATCTTGTTTAAATTTTTGAGTTTCATATATGCATTTCAGTCAAGCGCTTATCCTACTGAGCCATCTCCCCGGCCCCTCATATATGCATTTCAATAACACTTTTCGACTGAAAATGCATATGTTTTTCCTAAAGTTACCTAGCTGGGCCAGGGAGATGGCTCAGCAGAATAAGCGCTTGCCAAGCACAAGGGCCTGAGTTCGATCCCCGGTTCTGCCAAAGAAACAAAACAAAACAAAAAAACACAAAAACCTAAAGTTACCTAGGTGATATAGCCTATTCAATTGCTGCCCTAATGTGAACTTGCACTCACAGTTCTGCCTCAGTTTCCTGAGTGCTGATATTATGAGGTTACACGCATGCACCAATGCACTGGCTCTCAAGTCCACAGACAGCAGGAATAATTCTTCTCCTCCTCCTTTTTTTTTTTTTTTTTTTTTGTGGTACTGGGGATTGAACTCAGGACCCTGTGTTTGCCAAGCAAGCACTTATTCTACTATCTCCCCGGCCCTCCTCCTTCTTCTTTACCTTCTCCTTCTCATCCTTTTCTTCCCTCTCCTCTTCTTGTTTCTCCTCCTCCTTATTCTTTTTGTTTGTTTTTGTTTTGCTTTGTTTTGTTTCATTGAGACAGGGTCTCACTATGTAATCTAGTCTGGCCTCAAACTCACAGTGATCCTCCTACCTCAGCCTCTAAGATGCTGGGAGTACAAGTGTCAGTACAAGCCCTGTCATAGGCTCTTGACCTAGAAGGGGCTTTTTAAAAATAATTGTGTTTGGGGACTGCCAGTGTTCTATTAAAGTACATTACCACTGAGCTATATCCCTAGCCTTACTTTTTTTTTTTTAGACAGGGTCTTGCTATGTAGTTCAGGCTGGCCTTGAGCTTACTTTGTAGCTCAGGATAATCTTGAACTCACAGCAATCCTCCTGCCTCAACCTCCCAAGTGCTGGCAGGCATGTGCCATCATGCCCAGCTACCTTAGAATGATTTTATTCTATAAAAGTTTGACAGCCTGAGGAGCCCAAGGACACATGCTCTGAAGCCTGGCTCCTGCATGGCAAGCAGAAACACTGAATGGGCAGCCAAGATTTGGAGGCAGATTTATTTATGTTGACACAGGCACAGATCGGGATCACTTCCAAAATGTCCGGCCCTCAGCTGCAGAGGTCTAGGACTTATTTGGGATAAACAAGCAGGAAGTACAGAAGCAGAACGGCTTGTCAATTAGGGACTGGTTTATACAATGTGAATCGCAGTGAGCAGCCCTGCATCAGAGTGACCAGTTGTTTCTAAGAGACAGGAACAACTGGAACTGGAACAGGAACTGTTACCTGGGCAACTGAGAAACTGAAGTATACAGGCTGGGAGTGGTGTATGTTCTGCTACAGCAGTACTCGAAATGTGATCCATGGGCCAGCAGCATAAGCGTTATGAGAGCTTGCAAAATGCAAAACCTGGGCAGGAGACATAGCTCCGCAGACTAAGTGCTTGCCTGGAAAGTACGAGGACCAGGCTTCATTCCCTGGTGCTTCATGCCTGGGCTCTCTGTGCTGGCCAGTGATATCAGACATGGTGGTTCACACCTGTAATCCCATCAATGGGGTGGCTGAAACAGAAGGATCACTATGAGTCAGAGCTGCGTAGCGAGACCCTATACCAAATACATAACAAATATTACAAAACCTCAGACCTCATCCCAGATCAAACAAGAATTTGTAATTCAAAGGCCAAGGCCTGGGAGATAGCTCAGATAGCACCTGCCTGGCAAGCGCAAAGTCCTCAGTTGGAGCCCAGTTATGAAAAAAAAAAAAAAAAAAAAAAGGAATTTGCAATTCAACAATATTCCAAGTTGATTTGTATGCTTTGAAGCCCAGATAAACTCGTATAAAGTAAGGCGCCATTAGCAGGGACCGCTCTTCTTCATCGGTCTGAAGTAAGTACAGCATACCCAAGGTGTAAAGTGAGACTGGAGGGATACAGGCTGGATTCCAGATCACTCTTGTCTCTTCAGTATGAGCAAGATTTGGCTTTAAGACATGGACTTGGCAAGCACCAAAACTGCTTTAGCAAACAAACAAACAAACAAACAAACAAACAAACAGAAAAATGACTTTTAGCAATATTCACAATTTGGGATGTTCTTGCTATAGGATAGACTGGTGAAGAGAAGAATGAGGTGGCTACATAATGTATAGGCTGTGCAAAATGAATATGTAGAACTCTATTTATTTATGTATTTATTATTTTAGGGAAGGGTCTATAGGGTGTTCAGGGTCTCACTACTAGATCATAGTGATCCACCTGTTTACAGCCTCCCAAGAGCTGGGATTACAGGCGTACACCACTACACCAAGTCTCAATTGCTGTCTCAGCGCACCCCAGGGGCCGGGTTGACATGGAAAGCCCAGGGATTGAACCCTTGGCCCCTATGCCTGCTTGCAGGTGCTTTAATCCACTGAGCTATTTGGCTTCCCAGAACTTTTTGTTTAAAACATGGAAAAAACATAGCATTACAGTTACTTTAAAAAGCTACTAAAACATAAAGCTGTTTCCATTCTTCTGTGATCTTCTTCTTCTTCTCTCTCTCTCTTTTTAAAATAAGTATTTGGTACAGGGTCTTGCTAAAAAACTCAGACTCATAGTGATCCTCCTGTTTTCAGCCTCCCCAGTGCTGGAATTACAGGTATGTGCCAACATGCCCAGCGTTGGTGGTTGGCTCAGTGCACCTGGCACGGCATGTGGTGCTGGGAGTTGAACTTGGACCCTGAACTTCCCTAAGCAGTTGTTTAGTCTGCTGTGCTATCTTACCAGCCCTCTTTTTCTCTTTTTGCCATATTTTCTATTTGCTATTTAATGTCATTCTAAGTGAAGAAAATTAATGCTTTTAATTATTATTGTGAACTGTACGTACATCTTTGTATTGTGCAGTGATAACGTTAAATGCAAATATTGCAACATCACCATATTTGAAGAATCACTAACATTACATAATTTATGTTTTATAGCTGGTGCATTTATTTTATCTTCTTGTAACAATGAAAACTGCAGAAAACAAACTCCACTGTTTTGTTCTCACTTTTTTTTTAATTTATGTGTGTGTGTGTGTGTGTGTGTGTGTGTGTGTGTGGCCAGCTCAGCCCACCAGGGGGCGGGGCTGGCTGGCATGTGGTGTTGGGGGATTGAACCACGGTCCCTGTGCTTTGCTAAGCTTGTTCTAGGTAGGTGCTTTAGACCACTGAGCCATCTCACCAGCCCTTGTTCTCACTTCTTGATAGATGTATGTTCTATCAACATGCCCTGTCTTTGGTTTAGTTATCAATAAGGAAGGACTGGATGGTAATTATGGGTGACTTCACCTTTACCTTCCTTCTAGGCATTGTTTTTAGTGTAAGTTGTTGGCTAATACAGGGAAAGTGACATCAATAAAAAGGCCATCATAGTGGCCTGTGGTCATAGATGTTTCTTAGAATGCCATTTTCTTGTGAGGCAAGGTCTTCTTTATACTCCAGGCTATTCTTGAGGTTACATTCCTCCTTTCTCAGCCTCCCAAGTACTAGCATTACAAGGATATTCTACTATCTCCAGCCCTATTAGATTCTTTTCTTTGTTTTTGAGACAGGGTCTCACTATGTAGTATAACTTTCTTATGTAGCCCAGGCTGGCTTTGAACTCACAGTTATCCTCCTGCCTCAGCCTCCTCAGGGCTAGAATGCACTACCATGCCTGGCTTTTATTTTCTTTTGAAGACACATGTTCTACATCAATATTGGTTATACTTAAGATTCTATGCTGATCCTTTTCAGTTCTTACTTTGTTTTTCACCTTTTCTTTTAGTTTCCATGACTGTCATAGAAATTTGAATGATTTCCAAATTGAAAACTTTGATTCACATCTCTTTCCAGAGATTTAGATTTGTATATATCCTACCACTATGAACATTACTATTATGAGATACCTGTATCTCAAGGTCAATACTTTTATTCCTCTCTCAATTCTGGTTATTTCTTTATTGCTCCCAATATCAGATGATGACATCTCTATTCCTCCAATTGCAAAAGTCATGTCTTGGACTCATCCTTAACCCCTTTACCCATTTTTGACCAAAAAGTCAAAAATCTTGGTCCTCCATTAATCTGGCTGTCTGTATCTTTCTTCAAACCATTTACCTTTCATCATTCTCAAACCTATTCTTCTAGTC